GGAAACGAAAGCGAAGCGTGGACTGTTTTCGGTTTTGCAAAATCCAGTCTGCTGGCCGGAGATCGAGAAGAAGAAGAAGAAGAAGTAGAATAAGAGACTCGGGCGCGTGTCGCAAGCAATCGAGAGCCGACGATAACGGATGTTCGACGGTATTGAAGCAGCATCGTCGTTGACGAAACGAAAACCGCTGACCCCATCCAGCCGCTTCTGCTTCTCGCGTTGCGATCGGCTTACGGCTTACGGCTTACGCAAAAGCTGAGCAAGGAATACGAGATGCCGTAACACGGGAAGCAACGCCTGTAATAGATGTGTAATTTAGATCGAGGATCACGGATGATGTGCATTAACTTTCGACGAGATCGGCCGACCTTTTCCATCGCTGCTCGAGCACTGACCAGTCGCGGCTGGCACAGCAGCGCCGTGTACCATAAGAACCATTAATATTTCGCGACTCGTTTCGATGTTCGCTGAAGAGCCACTTGACGCGCGACGCTCCCGAGTAACTCTGCTTCTCGAACCGGGCAACGAGCAATCCAAAGTCCAATACTTGCCCCAGACGTTTCTTGAAGCCTGTCTACAGTCCGCTCTCTACCTTTGATCCTCCGATCGGTTTTCGAACGATCGAGCACTTAATTTCAAGATGCGACGGCGCAGGATTGCGACACGCTTTTGACGAGCCGTTGCGTCACTTAGACTGCAGACTAATGGCTTATCTTATTTGCAACTGGACGTAATTTCTGGTTCCCATGGAATGAGATTACCGTAGAGCGAAAGGAATTATAAAATTCGCCGTGGCTCGCAAGAACTCGGAAGATCTAAATGAGCAAGCACCAGGTACGACGCGCGTTTACAAGAATGACGAGGCTGAATTTATTTGGTTAGCCGATAAATCTCATTGCCTGTTTTTCCCCATAGATGGCAATACAGAAAAACGCAACGATTTATTGGCTAACCTAATATTTAGACCAGGGGTGTCAAACTCGCGGCCCGAGATGAACATTTTTGATGTCAAGTATCAGGACGTAAACAATAATTTAACTTTATATATGTTTATTACAATGTACTAGTCAAAATAAAAATATTTGTTTCTATGAACATTGATTTTTTTTGCGGCCCACCTAAAGTTGAGCATTGTTTATTTGGCTCAAGTTAGCTTTTGAGTTTGTCACCTCTGATTTAGACCGTTCGCCGTTCGTTCGATTAACGTGTGCTTAAAATAAAGAAATTATAAACACTACGTAAATCCGAAACCGGTCATTTTGACAGTATCCAGAAAACTGTAAACGATGCCGCGCAATTTTGCGAGTCTATCGGGAAATCAAGATCCGAAGTTTCCCGACGTTCCATCGCGTTTTTATGGAGGTGATCGAGGAAACCGCATAATCGTGTCCGGTTGAACCCCCGACTCCGGCCGAGCGTTGTCCCGCACTCGACTAGGATTCCACCGCGAGCTGCCTGTCGTCGATCACCGGTAAATATCTGTAGCAGCTGGGAAAGCATGAAATTTACGGCCACCCGTTACAACGTTTGTTACGATAGACAAGAGACCGGAGCGGCGCGGCGCGACGCGACGGCGCACGACTAGGCGTGGTCCACGCGTACACTCTTGCAGTCTCTTTCCTTCTTCCTTTCTTTCGTTTCTCTCCGCGTCTCTCTACTACTACTCTTGCTGCTATCTACTATCGAGACACTTGAAAATACGATACACTTGCGGACAGGATCGCAGGTAAAGCCGCGTTTGCGATTATTATGCCACGGAATAACGATATGGAGCGTAGCGGTGTATGCGGTAGATCGGATCGTAAAATAAAGCAACGGTTTTATTTCTGTGGGCATTTTCGAGGCAATTCCGATCGATGATTGGATTTTAATAGAACGGCGGGAGAATTGATACGGATGTCTGCGGATCTTGCGAAAGACACCATCGTTGAAAGGATGCGATTAATGTAAACTACGCGAAGACATTTGTCTCTTCGAGATATATGTTCGGCCATCAAAGACGGAGGTAGAAATATGGCAAATTAAAAGCACGAATAAACGGCGCTAATTGATTGTTCGCCAATATTCAAACGTTTCAACCGCGAACGAACTAAGCAACCATATCTAAATCTCTTAAATATTTCTCCACCGTCTCTTAGAACTTTATGTATTTCTGCACTCTATGTGCTGATCATTCAATCTTTTATATCCATTACGTACAATATTTCTATTTTCATTCTTATTTCTCTTTTTTTGTATTCTTACTCTGTATGAAGTCATTCTGAACCTCTGTAACTTCTCCTTTTTCGTAATCTTATAACAAATGGGTAACTCCCCGTAGATATTTAATAAATAAATAAACAAATAAACAAATATGTCTCAAATTTTACAGCGATCAATGTTTGTTAAACTGTATTATTAAAGGGCTTAGAAAGCTCGCCAATAAAGAGTAATAATATTAATAATAATAATAATAATAATAATAATAATAATAATAATAATAATAATAATAATAATAATAATAATATGAAAATTTTCAAAGACACGAAATGGAGGACGAGATATTCGAATTTTGAACATGAGTTAAGCGATGACCGATACGCTTATGTTCGCCTCGAAATGGTCCTGCAACGACGGTGGGATGCCCTTTGGGCGAGAAACACCTGAGCAACGGGCAACACGCGACAGAAATGCAACTGGCGTAACATTCAATTCCTGTTACTTCTANGTATTATTAAAGGGCTTAGAAAGCTCGCCAATAAATAATAATAATAATAATAATAATAATAATAATAATAATAATAATAATATGAAAATTTTCAAAGACACGAAATGGAGGACGAGATATTCGAATTTTGAACATGAGTTAAGCGATGACCGATACGCTTATGTTCGCCTCGAAATGGTCCTGCAACGACGGTGGGATGCCCTTTGGGCGAGAAACACCTGAGCAACGGGCAACACGCGACAGAAATGCAACTGGCGTAACATTCAATTCCTGTTACTTCTATTTACGATCAAAACTTTCGAATCGCAGTCGCCGACACGTGTCTTGATCCTACGTTTACGACTAGCTGAATATGAAAGGATCCGCGGTGATTTTTATCGAAACGAACACGTTTCGGTAACCTTTGCGGCTCTGCGCACGAGATCCTCATCCCGGTTGCATAGTCATAGCCGACGCGATCGAGAAATCGATTTGCTCGCCGGACAGTGGCCGTCGGCAGTTTCTCCTCGGACCGGTCGTTAACCGAACGATACATTGAAATCTGTTGTTCCGAACTACGAATTAATTAATGGACACACCCATATAATTTGTCTCATTGTATAGTATATGACATATTTTTTTTGTCAGATTAGTGTAAATGCCACGAAAATCGATGCGATCGGTGTGTATTAGGGTGTTCATCCTAATTTTCAGGCATTTACACTAGTCTGAGAAAAAAATGTTTCGGTTAAAAGTTAACAAGTACTTTGATGAGATCAAAGAGCAATAATAAAAATTTCGAAAAATTTGTCGTTCGATACGATTTATTTTGTATTTTTGACTTGAAATGTATATATTATATATTATATCAATTTTGTTTGTTTCTTTTTCTTTGCTTGCGATTACGGTATAAAATCTCTCTCTCTTTTTATTACTTCTGTAACAGAGGGGTTTCTTTCTACATATGAATAAATAAATTATTCATTGTTATCGTCAACGTGAGAAAACAGGAATTCAATGGCAAAGAAGAATTTCAGCAGAACAGGGATCGAGATCAATACCCATTGCAATAGCCCGCCGACGTGGTGTTCTACCTGTGGAATAAAATCACGATAGGCTCCATTTACCGGCGAATTATGTAGGTACAAATATGATTGTTGCTGTGCCAGCTGGAATAGCGCTACTTTCTACGTTCTCTATCTAGTAATCGCACGAACGCCCCGACGAAAGCTACAATAACGTAATTGTTCGGAAGCCGGTGGAAAGTATAATAATTATCAGAGAGGCCTGCCTAAATTGTCCGGAGGGATCGAGATCTGCTTCTAATCAGGGGAGAAAAGCTGTCGCTGTTCCCCAACCATAAATAACCATAAAGTTGCCGTCGAATAATCAACAGCGAAGACATCGCATCCCGAAGATGGGCAAAAAATCGCGGCATCGTTAACACTGATTTTATGGAAAGTTGTTCCGATCGGGACACTTTCTACGTAGAAATGGACGATGAACATCGCGTTCCTACATATCTCTAGCGTAGCTGTTCCTCCTTTTTTCCCGTCGTTTTGTCGTTTTTATCGCTTGTTTCGCTTGTCGCTCATCGACCGGTGTGTATAATTATAATTGACGATTCTTTGCGACGTATCAAAAAATAAAAAAAGAGAAAAAGGATCTTGCTAGACTAGATAGAATCCAATAAGAACATCTGTACTCGATGGTTCTCAACCTGTGTTCGACTTACAAAACTTACGACTCCACATCGAAATGAATCTTTAAGTATGAACAGTCGACGTTGCTTCTAAGTTCCAAGTTTACGCGGCGGTTCTTCGCGAACTCCGCAGACAGCGTGGGCCACCTGTGGCAACGACAACAGCAACAACCTTCCTCGATCGTTAATTAAGCGTGTGGTTCCCCGATTACAGAAACAATCCAAATTATACGGATTAATCCGTTCCAGTAGCTCGGCAGCCTTCGCGAAGAGGAAAGAAAGAAGCATTTGCGCCGCCACTATGTGAAACGCGACGAGGTGGCCGTGGCACGTAATTGTTGCACTCGCGAATGCCGTTTCGCGAAGGATAAAAAATCGTCGAGATTTCGTCGCTGACATTCCTGTCGTAAGGAACCGCGATACGATCGGCCACTGGAATCGTAGAAACTCTCCGGAGCTTGCTCGAAAGCGAATGAATAATTAATGTTAACTTGCAATCTCGCCGAATACGCGAGGACATCCTTAGTCGATTAAGCCGTAAGCGATTATTTTGTTTCGACACGGACTTTCGAAGCAGACTCGATTCAATTTTCGACGAGAATTGCCACTTACCTGAGTACTACGCTCTCGAAGACCTTCGGTCGCGACGAAGAGCAGCACCACCAATGCCACCACCGTGCACCACGAAAATCTCCGCGGCATTCTGCACAGAAAGCAACGCACATTTACATTTCAGCGGTACGTCGCAGTTTGCAATTTGATCGTTGCAGTTTGCAATTTGATCGTCGCACTGTGCCGACCAATTTTTCAGGGTTTCGCGAAACAATCGGACGAGTCCCGCGATATTGATATCTGTTGTAACTCAAAGAATTGCTATATCTCGTAATGCAGAGCTCGTGAAGACCGAACAATGATAATTTAAAGGGACTAATTTTTTGTGTTAACACCAGAACTGCCGTGCCAGTCGAAATGACCGATTTTTAAATTTTTCTTTTACAGTTCTAAACATTATAAAAATGTTTCTGTGAGAAATTTTTAGGCAAACGTCTTTAATCAAGTAATATTATGAAGTCTAAATAAATCCTATCTTGTCAATATTATAAAACAATAAAGTTTCTTTTCCTTATCATCATCGTAATCGTAATTTAAAAAAAAATGGTACGGCGAGGTGTTAAGAACTTCTAAATTTCAATGGAACATTTGCGATAATCTAGCAAAAAAACTATTTCGAACAAAAATTGATCGGTATTTACTTTTCCACAAATTAGAATATAAAAACCTTTTAGAATATAAAAAACTTTTCCCATAAAATTTTCGCCTCGATATTTTTAAATGCTAACAGACATTTTCGACTCGATAATAATCTGGCTGATGCCGAGAACCTTAAACTTTGAAACAACGCTGGAATAATTTTTTGGCCACGGATCGCTGCTTCGCCAAATCACTGTGAATCGTTTCGACGATGCAGCTGCAAGTCGATCCACCGAAGAAACGAAATTTGAGATGAAATCTGAGATTTAATTTGAAATGAAATTTGAGATGAAATTTTGTCATCACATTTCGAAGCCAGACCGGCTGAATGTCGATCGACTTCGTTCGCAGGGCTTTCGATTGTGTTTTAGCAGTCCGCGTTAATTAGTTCCGGCGACGCGGTATACGGAAACAAAACGTAATGTACGCGCGTGGGGAAGTCGTATGTCACCTCGAAGATTTAAATTACCGAATTACTCGTGTAATTCTTGGCCCGTTAATAGTGCCGGGACGATTCCTCGGACGAGAGCACGTCTATATGCATACAATACGGAGAACGTTTATGAGATCATACTTTCGCCGGCGCGGCGCGGCGCAGCGAGGTGCTCGACAATGTAATTAAAAGTCTCGTAATTTCTGCGCTGGATAACAGAAAATCCTCTTCGAAATGGTCCCTTGATATTTAATTATCCGGCGCGAGGCGTTGTCTCATCCGAACCACGGCTATTTTCGCATCGCCAAGGATGAATACGAGATTATCCTCTTTGCCGCCATATCGAAACGATCGATCGAACCCTATTTTTATCTTACTATGTTGTGGCAGGACGCGTTCGTCCCTCTCTCGTAACGAGTAAAAATAACAAAGGCCTACTACTGTCGTTTAATAATAACAGCAGCTCCTAGCGTTCGTCATCTTCTCGTCGCGTTGTTTTAATCGCGCGACAAACGTCCCGGATTCGTCGCGTGTCATTTTATTATCATTCGACCACGCTAATTTCGTTGACTCGCAACATCTCGAAGGGCAGCATCTCGAAAAGAGGCCAAGGATCCTGCCAGGTGAAAACACGTAAAAATAAAAAAGAAAAAGACGCCTGCTGCGCTGCGGCCCGTCCCCGCCCTGCTGAATGCATACTTTGATACCGACCCGAACCTGCCGTGCCATTTCGCCGAGCGCAATCCGAAGCCGGTTTCGCGAAATGTGTACCGACTCCCTCAAAGATGGCCCCGCAGGACACGCGAGGTTCGAGCGAAAGGTTTTCGGGGAAAGCCATGCGCGGACTGTGTATGCGAGAACCTGATCCTCAAGGGAACGGAATACAGCAATTTCTCCCAGGAATGTTCGGAGTTCGGAATTGATACCGGCAGATCTGAGAATATTAACCACGACGCGTCACTATAGTGGCTTCCGCGGATGTCATCTTTCAGAACGACACGCCACTATAGTGGCTTGCTCTAGTAGCTCACTCGCTCATCGTTTGAACCAAATAATCGTCTTCATATGCACTGTTTCGCACTTCTTTTGTCTTCACATCGATTTACAACAGTCTACAGGGTGCCCCAAAAATGTCTCGCAATCCGGAAATGGCGGGTTCCTCGGATCATTTGAAGCAATTTCTTCCTTTACAAAAATTTTCTCCGAGGCACCGTTAACGAGTTATTAACGAAAAACAGTGACTAATGAGAGGTGAGCTCGGCTGGCGTGAGGCAACCGAGCCAATCAGCGGAACTGGGATTCGACCGCTCGACCGTTGGCGCCGTTGGCTCGGCCGCCTCGCGCCAGCTGAGCTGGGATTCGACCGCTCGACCGCTGGCGCCGTTGGCTCGGCC